TCCCCCACTCACACCCCTCCCCCTACCGCCCCCCCACAGCCATTCTTCATTCCCCTCCTAAACCATCACACCCCTCCCCCCAGGCCCCGCCCGGATAGCGGCTACTCGCCATAGGCCCGGATCCTGCAGCCGTTGCCATGACAGCAGTGAAGTGACCTCGCTCGGCCCCAGGCCTCAAAGTGACACCGCGGGGCCCTCTCCCCGCCCCGCTCCCGGGAGCTGGGGCCAAGGGTCGCGGGTGAGTGAGCGACCGAGCGGCTGGCCGCCCGGAGTAGGGGGAGAGGAGAAGCGTGCTGGGGGTGTGGTCGTGAGCGGATCTGCCTCGGACGCGGCCTGTGGGCGGGAGCCCCCGCGGATCCTCATCGGGCAGCCATGCTCGTCGGTGGGAAGGGGAAAGGGCGGGGGGGGCGATCGTGGGGAGCAGTGCCTCCCAATTCTCTCTCCCCCAGGACCGAGAGGCGGCTCGGGGCTGGGGCCGGCTCCACGCGAGCCCCTGCTCCCAGCGGGGTGCTGCCCCATCCGCCTGGCCGCCCGCCTGCCCTCTTCCCAGCCCGCCTACCGATGTGGTTGTCTTCGATGTGCTCGATGAGCTCCCCCAGGGTCGCGAACTGCAGCCCGCATCCCCCGAAGCGGCAGGTATTGGAGAAGAAGGAGGCGGCGGCGATCCCTGTCATGGTGCTACATGGGTCCAGGCGGCAGGAGGAGGGAGGGAGGGATCGGGCCAGGGGCGGGGACACGGAGTGAGAGAGGGGTGGGCTCGGAGGGGGGTGGGGGAGTTGGTGGGAGACACAGACTCACCTACAGCACCCTTCACAAACCAGACCGCTAACTCCACTTGCATCGGGGTTAACTTTAAAAAGTGTTTTTTTAAACACCCCACTCCCCAGTTAAATCATTAATTTCATTAGTGTAACACAATACAAGAAGAAGTGATGTGCAAATTTCATTCACTCGTCTCAAAACAGAAATCCAAGATGTTAAAGTTGGGCAAATCCTCCGGAATTTCCATTTTATCTGAGACTTTGGTCGTTGGCAAAACCATAAGCATAAACCACAATTGCGATTGTGTGTACTATCTACAAGATGCGCTGCAGAAATTCACCCAAGATCCTCAGACGGCACCTTCCAAACCCATGACTACTTCCATCCAGAAGGACAAGGGCAGCAGACATATGGGAACACCATCACCTCCAAGTTCCTCTCCAAGTCACTCACCATCCTGACTTGGAAATATATCTCCGTTCCTTCACTGTTGCTGAGTCAAGATCCTGAAATTCCCTCCCTAATAGCATTGTGGGTCGACCCACAGCAGGAGGACTGCAGCGATTCAAAAAAGCAGCTCACCACCACCTTCTCAAGGGCAGCTAGGGATGGGCAAGAAATGCTGGCCAGCCAGCGATGCCCGCATCCCACAAATGAATAAAAAAATTACTCTCCTGTATTCTTTCCCAATGTTTTGCACTTTTTATCATTGCAGAATTCACCTGGCAAAGAGATTTGCAACCATTTTCTATTAGATATTCTGTCTGAGAAGAGCCCATCTTAGCACAGACTTGGTGGAAAGTAAGTACAAACCCTGCAGTTTGTGAAAATATGAAGGCTCCAACTCTGAAATGTTAACTTGACTGATTTCTTCACAAATACCTTTTTAAACGATCCAAATGCATCCACAGGAGAACTAATAAAGGAACAAAAAATGTAATTTCCAACAAAGCAAAGTGCTTGTTGTAAGTCAAAATCATCATAATGATGTTTGTGATCATTTTGATTTATCCAATGGACATCAGTTGAAAACATTGAACAAAACTGCCCCTTTGAAAGCAGGTATAACTTCATTTTCAAGGCCTGATTCCTTCAAGTCAGTACGATAGGCTGTATCCATGTAGCAGTTAAGGCACTGTCGCATCAGCAACATGTTTCTGGATGGAAAGAAATTCCACTACTTCCATATGCAGTTAGTACACCACCGCAAAGGAACCTTGCATGCATGCATAGTTCCCAGGTACAAGTCATAGTAAGGTGAGCCATAATGGACTCAAAACATTAACTTTGTTTCTGTCTTCACAGATGCTGCCAAACCTGCTGAGTTTCTCCAGCATTTTATTTTCGTGTGCAATCATAGTTAGGTAGAACTGGTCAGCCTCTCTGGATGACTCCTGGGTAACAATGAGGTATCCATTGAAAACATGGCTGGGAATGTCAGTGCGGAACCAAAACAAAGGATCACAACAGATACAGCCATAGTCATTTGACATCCAGAACAACAATTCAGTAGGCCATAGGCTTGCTGAAAATGTGATTCTGGTGCCTTGATTGGTCTGGAGATAACTTTTAATTCAGCACTTCAAGCAACTTGGATATAGCCATGGTGCAGTGCATTCTAACCAACTGCAGAAAAGAGTGGAACTGACAACAGGAAAAGGAGGCAAGTGGTAAGTAACATTAGCAGTACAGAAATACCAGGCAATAACCATTTCCAGTAAGAGATAATCTAACAACTGCCACTGGGATTCCTTTAGGCAGCTTTGGTGGTGGCCTGGGAATCTTTTCGGCTGCTTAGGTGGCTGTTTTCGTTGTTGTTGGTCTGGGTCTCCTTGTAGCAGCTTCAGTCAGCTTGTGACACTATGCAGCATTTTCTTCAGCATCATGGTGTGTCCAGCTGGGGATTACAACGGGGGTTTGGATCCTCAAGCCCAGAGACATGAGATGGACTAAGTGGACTTTGTCTTAAATTCTCACTTGTTAAATTTTTCTCTTTTATTATATTATCATGGAAGGATTGTTATTTTGAACTTTTTATCTTTTTTCTGAATTTATTACAATGATTTTATACTTTTGAAGGGCTGTAAAGCTGGACTTTTTATTTCTTTATTTTCTTTTTTTTCCTTAATAATTTGTACCCAAGAATCTGTACGTAGGTACCTTTGTACCTAAGATGGCGCCGTAAGTGGCGACTTGTAAACTTTTCACTGTACTAATGTGAGAACATGAGACAATAAAGCTAATTCATTTCAGTTCAGTTGACATTCAATGGTGTTTTCATTACTGAATCCCTCACTATCAACATCCAAGCATTACCATTGACCAGAAACTCAACTGGACTTACCATTTTAATACAGTGGCTACAACAGTAGGTCAGAAGCTAGGAATACCACAATGAGTAACTGACCTCCTGACTCCCCAAAGCCTGTCCACCATCAGGAAGACAGGGCAAATCAGGAGTATGATGAAATATTCCCACTTGCCTGGATGAATGCAGCTCCAACATCACTCGAGCTTGACATCATCAAGGACAAAGTAGTCTGCTTGATGGGCACAATATCTACATGCATCCATACCCTCCATCACTACACTTAGTAACTGCAGTGTGGACTATCTACAAGTGGCACTGCAGAAATTCCCCAAAGATCCTTAGCCAGCACCTTCCAAACCCACAAGTGCCTCTTGCTAGAAGGTCAAGGAACGCAAGGTCAAGGAATACATAGGAACACAACCATCTGCAAGTTCCCCTCTAAACCACTCACCGTTCTGACTTGGAAATGTATTGCAGTTCCTTCACTGTTGCTGGATCCAAATTCTGGAATTCCCTCCCTAATGGCATTGTGGGTCTACCTGCAGCATATGACTGCAATGGTTCAAGAAGGCAGCTTAGCACCACCTTCTCAAAGGCAACTAGGGGCTCCAGCATCTGCAGTTCCTACTATCTCTGAAACAATTTTAACCCCACTGCGATGCCTCTTCTAAGGATGCCTACCCTGAAGAAGTTACCCTCCTCCCTCCGGAAAAACCTCAGTGGATCTCTCTCCCATGCAACTCTCTCGTACCTGTCTCCTGTCAACCTATCTTCCCCTCTATCCATCTTCTATCCACCTCCCCCTCTCTCCCTATTTATTTCAGAACCCCCTTCCCCTCCCCTATTTCTGAAGAAGGGTCTAGGCCCGAAACGTCAGCCTTCCTGCTCCTCTGATGCTGCTTGGCCTGCTGTGTTCATCCAGCTCTACACCTTGTTATCTCAGATTCTCCAGCTTCTGCAGTTCCTACTATCTCTGAAACACCTAAACTCTGAACTTATAAAATTGTTTTTCTGCTTCTGGGAATCTATCAGGTCAGCGATAATAATTTGGCAAGGGAAGATAGCTATATATGCAGCATATATTCACCCTATCTCTCCTTTGATAAAATCTTGCATGTTGAATTGGAACAGATGCTTGAGCGGGGGATTTATATTATTTGGAATTGACATGGACACTCATATCTGCCACCATGTACAGGAGCATTGCAGGAAGTCGTTTATCAAGTTAATGCATTCTCCATGTTCATAAGGCGTTAAATGTTCCTTTGGTCTGAGAAGAACTCCATGGTGAGGCTGGCAGCAGTTTGGCTACTGAAATAAATTCAAAGCATATTGCAGAATCAGTAAAGGTGAATGAAAACAGTGACACAATCCTGGAAAGGAATTCAGCTGCAGGTATCAAGAGAGCTAGCCTCTTCCTCCTAGAGGTTAACATGGGGGCAAGTATTATTTCACTATTTAACTGCAGCTGTTATTTATTTTTCAAATTTTGCAGGAGGTGAGCAACACGGAGACCAAAAATATACACAATGTTCAACACAAAGAAGGAACTTGCATTTGTAAAGCATTTTACAGTCTCCAAATTACTTTTGAATTGTAACTATTGTTATGCAAGTAAACACATTTATTTGTATAGCACAAAAGCAAACAGCAGGGAGATAAGTGATTAATTCAACTCTTCTGCTGATGTGGGTTGAAGATAGGGTATTAGAAGAATTCCCCCACTTTTCACATTCACTTGAGCAGGAAGATGGTTCAGAGTGTCTGTTTTAATGGTTTACCTAACAATTTCAACAATGCTGCAATGAAGCATTAATCTGGATTATGTGTTCAACAGTTAGTGTGGGACTTTTTAACTCTGAGCCACCCTGACACATTCCTTCAATAGCTATAGCCAAAAATAAATAGAGTTCAAAACAAAGCAATGGAAGTTAGGGAACTACTGGTGCAATTGGGAGGAGATTAATAAAATAAACCCATTGTTATCAAATTAAATGTTTGCTAGAAGAACAAGGAACCATGCTGAAGTAACTCCACAGAGGCTGGTATCCCATCACCAAGTCACCCTTTATTTACACATGGAAACTCATCAACACTGATCCAGCTCTCAGAGTGAGCTGGATGCTTGACAGTCCTGTTCTTATCCCTCAGCCAGGTTTCCCTGATTGGACCAGATTAACAGCTTCAATCAGGGAACTCATATTCTGTGACAGCCACCTGGCTGACTTCATTACAATCACTACATCCCTCCCCCTCTGAGCCCAAGGACATAGGTCAGCTCTTTTTCTTATGGCTTATATGCAGTGGTCCACATGCTGGTTAAAGACGACTGCACCTCCCTGAATTTTATACATCACTGGACCTGACCTTGCATCAACTATATGCCTCTTACCCATGCAGGAACTGGGACAATTTGGTATCTAGTAAAACTTCAGGCTGTTTCTTTAAGCCTGCCTTCAAAGTTTGGACTGCTCTTTCTGCCAGACCTTTTGAAATTGGATGGTATGGAGCTGTCCTTATGTTGAATACCATTCTACTTTAGGAAATACTCAAATTCCCTATCGGCAAACAATGGCCTGTTATCTGTAATCAACACTTCTAGGAGTCCATGTATTGCAAAATATGA